GAAATCCTTTCGGGGTATTATCATCGATAGTTTTTCCATCTATCCATTTCATCAATAATAGTGCAATCTCTTTGTTGATTAATTCTGAGTTAATTTTAAAATTGCCCGATCTGATCAAAAAGTGTTTGTATAATGGTTTAGCATCTGAATCTAAATTACAATGTACTACATCTTTAATTAAATCTTTAGGAAGAATGTCCATATATTCCCACACTTCAGGAACAAATTCCTTAGGATCTATTTGATAAAATCTAATAAGTTCAGTTAATTCATGTAATTTCTCTTTCAATATATTAACATCATTATTATTGGCGTCATCACACATAATGTCATCATTATTATTGTCATTACACATCATGTTACTTTCATGTTGTGCTTTTCCCCATTGAATTAGTCTTTTCCAAATAATACTTTCTTTCATATCAAGGTTATCACATTCAAGAATTAATTTTAATGTACATATTTTCCTCTAAAGAAAGAAACTCATCTGAATCAAATAGTAAAGAAGGATTTTTGCAAATGGTCTCCAAATAAGCTTCATTAAGCTCCTTGAATCGTTTATAATGGGTAATAAAATGAAGCATCCTAATAGGACTTTGTTGTAAGAACGTATAACAATTTTGGATTAAGAGACTCTGAACGATATCAATAAGACTTTGAATTAAAAGTTCATCTGCAGTAATTAAAAGCCCTAAGATTGTTTCATCGTTCTGGCCTTTCAAATCTACTATTCCACAGTACAAAAACCTATTTAAACAACATATAATATATAATTAGAATCCTAAATGATCTGTTATAAATTTTAATATACCACATACTTCATAATAATGTTAAAAATTACTGCATTTGTTTTAGGATTTGATAAAACATAGCAACCATTTTTTTTACAGCCCATTCATCGGATAATGCTCTACGAAAGTAAGATGATCTAGCACAAAGAATTTGAGAATGGGCATAAATTTGCTCAGCGTTTTGTTCGTCTCCAACAGTGATAATTGTATCGTAACGTTCCTTGGACTCATATAGGTTTTTAAAATCTTCAACTATGTTTTCAGAAATTGCAACTAGATCTTCAGAAAATATTTCGGCCATTATGATATCGTCTAAGTTCGTAACAAATTAAAATACAGGATTTTTATTTATTGTATTTGATTGGTTAGGGTTAGGGTGATTAGCAAATGGGATTTTTATCAGTGTTATAAATTCAAAAAATTTTATTGGCGCAAGCGCAAAAAAAAATATGCAAAAAAAAAAGAAATTTATACATGCTTACCAAGAACGTAGTGTAAACGAAGTGTATGGTTTAATGTAAAAGTTTTGCGGCATAATAATACAGTAATTGATTTTGTACCAGGAACGTAGTGTATACGAAGTGTATGGTATAATGGCAAATAAGGCAAAATCTTAAAGTTGATTGGTTTATACGATTGTACAGATCACGATTTTTATAGCGACACTAATTTTGGAGATCAGTTTTCTCA